GGCTGGATTTGAACCCACCAGCTTAGGTGTATGTGGCTGGCACCTTAGCCACTTAAGCCACAGGGGCCGAGCCGCCAATTTTTTTTGTAAGCCAATTTACTGTGCTTTAAATTGGGTCAAGAGTTCAATTTAATGGCAGGGGAGGCACTAATTTCACTGCTTCAGTGCCTCACCTCCCATGAGGTGCAAATGAAAGGTGAGGCAGTGAAGTTGGTAAATGAAGACAATGTCCCAAGGAAGAATGGAATGACATTTTGTACTTTATTTTTATTTATGTATTTGTTTTTTTGAGACAGAGCCTCAAGCTGTCACCCTGGGCAGAGTGCCCTGGCATCATTGTTGACAGCAACCTTCAACTCTTGGGCTCCTCTTGCCTCAGCCTCCCAAGTAGCAGGGACTAAGGGCAACTACAGATATCTGTAACAGCACCCCACTATTTTTAGAGAACGGGGAGGAGGGTTTTCATTCAGGTTCAGGCTGCTTTCATGAGCTCAAGCAATATACCCGCCTTGGCATCCCAGAGTGCTAGGATTACAGGCGTGTATAGGCGAAATGCCTATATGCCTCTGGCCAAAAATGCCATTTGAGAGAGAGCAGTGAAAAGACTTTGTGCAGGCACACTTGTAAGAAACTGAGGCAGAATCTCATGTGGCCAGGTTAGTTGTGGGCCTAAGATGACCAAAGCTTTGGCTGGAATAGCATTTCCAGACTGCGTGTGTTAAGGAATTAAGGTTGACTTTATAAGGGCAATGAAAAGCCCTTTGGAAAACTGGCCAGATACCCATCAGTAACCTTTTCCTGATCTGTGGTAAGTGACGAAGGTCGCTTGCTGACAGGTCCAGGAATGGAGTAACCTTTCCTGATCTGTGGTGTGTGACGAAGGTCGCTTGCTGATGGGTCCAGGAATGGAAATGTGGGGGACCTCAAGAGAAGAGGAATTTACCCAATGCATACAGGTATCTATGGCACAGATGAAACTTGGGCTCATGAAAGGCTTTTGAGAAGTCCAGCCTGAGAATTCCTTATAAAAGTCTCCAGCAAAACCCCCCTGACTTAAGGCCTACGTGGGAGCAGAGGTTTGCACATAAATTCCTGTATGTCCAAGAAGTTTCTCTATGCTTTGCTTGAAGATTCCAAGTAATTGCCTCCAAATGGCATGGTCAGTAGAACAGACATTCAAATCCTCTCTTTCCCTTGTACCCTCAGGCTTCATCAGGTAAGAACAAAGAAAGTAATAACTGACATTAACTGGGTTATATTGAAAGGGTTATACTTAAAGGTGTATGTTGGGTGGATTATCAGATCACCAGGGAGTAGCTACTTACAGGGCAGATGGTCTTTTTTTTTTTTTTTTTTTGAGACAGAGCCTCAAGCTGTCCCCCTGGGTAGAGTGCCATGGCATTACAGCTCACAGCAACCTCCAACTCC